AAAGCTTCCTTGGTACTATTCAAAGTAGAGAATGAACTTTTCCCACTATTTTGCTCAACCAATACCATCAAAAATTGATTAAATGCTTATCATGTTGCTTTTTCTGGGTCCTTGCTGTGCACCAATTGGCTATTGTATTTGCCAACAAAGCCACAAAGAGTGCACATCAAAGGTAATATTTTGTCTGCTAAATGTTTTCTATTTTTTTTTTCTGTTTCAAGGCCATTATGTCATGACAAATGAAGAGTACAATTTGCTGCACCAGTTGAAAAATGAGAGATAGAATTCCTGTACAGCTGGGAAAAAAGAATTCATACATTTGTTTTTAGTAACATGATAAGTCTTGCAATTTACATTGAATGCAAAGTTAATTTCGCTGTAATTATGTTCCAAATTTAAATGTTAACAACTCATGGAAGTGCATTTAGCAGCTGCCATATAGGTACACCATAGATTAGTTACGTACATTTTGATGATATCCGCTGCCAGATAACATCATTATATTTTCTGAACTAGGAGCTGGAAGAAAGTCTGCAGCAGCTTCTTACAACCAAGATAGCTGTTTACATTATGACATTTTTAATAGTGACTGTAGCTTGGGCTTCACATATCAGGTAAATATTGTTTTTACAAATGTGGTGCACTTTCATTGTTAACTTACTTTAGAAACAACTTCTGTGCTCAGTAAAAAAAAACAAATCACATGGGTGTGAGACCTCTTATTTTTAAAAGTTATGTGGAGGGACCTTGTGTTAATACTTTCAGTTTCATCTGCAAGCTTCATTATTGTTGGTTTAAAAAATGATGTGATTCCCACTTGGAAACATTTCTTATTTCTAGGTTTTATTTTTAAAATGTGTTACTTGAACTGAAATTTTGAACAGAACTGCAATTTTTAAATATCTTTGTTTAGATTGTTCCAAGTGATTGAACAAATAGATGATGTTCTTGCCCTTTTGAACTTGGTGAGTATACAATCTATTAAGATTTTCAAACTAACTGAAGAAGAAGCAAATGTTGTTCACTCTTGTGCAAATATACCCATAACATCAAGTTGTTGGTTAGATACTGTCTTTGTAAATTCCACATTGAAATTGTTCCTGGTGCTATTATTGTACTTTTGTATATTTTGTATTGCACTTTATTAAAAATGGTGTATTGCTATCAGTTATTCCCTGATCTCTGATGATTAAAAGTGACAGTGTTGCTGACTCCAGGTAGGTCCCGGTTCATTCCACAATCTGTACTGAGTTAATTGACTTCAACTGAAATGATAATGGTAGAGGCACTACAGTTGGTCCCAGGATTATCAAGAGAAAAATCAATATCTGCAGAGATTGGATCATGCTCAACTGCATTGTCACTTGTACGAAGTTATCTGCTGCTACTTACTTTCAGGGTGTATGTATGCAGCAGAATTTCTGGATCATCAACTGTTCTGATCTTGAAAAATTAATAATTTGTGTTGTCTGTTCACATCAGTTAGAAAACAGTACTAGCATTGTAGGAGTACAAATGCAAAATTGAGGAGCACTAAGATTTATGGAATTCATCAAAATCATAAAATATTTTTTCATAGTCTATAATTTATATTGCATGAAGATTATTATCCATTTTGCATTGATCAGTGGTTGCATAGTGGTCTCTGAGTCAGAAAGATCTACTCCAAAAGCCTGCACATTTTCTAGATTGTCACAACAGTGCAGAATGGCAAGAGTGCTGCATTGTCACGGATGGTGTCTTTTTAATGAAACATTAAACTGAGACCCTATCTAGCCTCTCCTGGCTAATAAACGGATTGTGTGGTAATTATCATATCGCTGTTTGTGGATCCCATGACATGTTGAAAATGAGTTCTTCATTTTGACAGTGTAGTAGAACGCTTTACATTATACTTCAAGATTATTGATTTGGCTAGAAGACGTTTTTGGGATGTCCTGAGGTTTTCAAAGGTACTCTATAAACACAGGCTCTTAACTTATACTCCGAAAACGTTTCTTCTGTCTTAAGTGGGAGATCTGAAATAGACACCTTCAAAATCCGGTCAAATAAGGCTGTGATAACCGTCGTAACTTGTTGCAAGCTAATTCACAATAGCAATTCACCTTCTCAAAGATCAACTGCCATCTGATGTCAGTTTTAAATAGATGGAAAATCCTTTCACCTTGGTCACCTCTGTGCTAAATCTAAACTGACCACCACCGATATGTATGACCTACATTTTGCAGATGGCTGCAGTGTTTGTTACCCACTCTGTGTGAGATTTGGATATCACTCTGGATCTCTTTGATCCGGTCTATCCTCTATATGTGTTGAAGGAGAGACTCCAAAACATGTTGAGCATTTCCAGCTCAGCAGTCACCATTCTCAAAAGGCCAGCATTGAGAAGGAGAACCAACAAATGCTGAGCTGCACAAATTCAGTCTTACAAATTCAGCCTTCTACAAACTACAATAGTCAGTGTTTGATGATGAGACCTCTGCAAGTCAACAGAAATCCTGTTGTGCAGTGCAGCTGTTGTTACCACCCCACTGACCTACAGTATGACCTCCTCTGTGTATCAGTGATACCTGAAAGAACACTAGAGAAATTCCATCAGCAATGCCTCTGTCACATCTCTAGATTCAATGGGAAAACATCAGTATCCTTCTTGAAGCCATTCAGGCAAAGCTGCTGCAAAATCAACTTTGATGGATACCGTTGTGTTTGCATGGCTAAAAGCCATCTTCCGTACCAGATCCAGTTCTTTTGACTGTCTCATAGTGTCAGAGGTGTTCCAAAGCTCCTCTTGAGTCACGGCTGCGTTTACCCTAATGACTACGCGGAGGTTTTTCCCAGTCATTCAGAATGGTAATAACTTGTCCCATGAGGCTGCATCATGTTCTGCATACAAATACCACAACTTTTGTACTGATGACAAAGAAGAAAATAAAGTAAATCCTGCAATCCAGATTCCATGACCTTATGGGGCATCTTGCTCCATGCACCCAAAGATCTGGGATCTGCCAGTCAGTCACATGAGAAATCATGACCCTGATTGATTTGAAGATAACATTTAAAGTACAGCCAACATCTCCTGCAGTACTAGTGCTGTTTTCTGATTGATGTGAACAGACAGCATAGCATGTCATCTTCACACTCTCAGGATAGATAATGAATCAGGAGTTTTGTATGGAAATGTTTAATACATAAACCCTGAACACGTTTGTATAAGACATACAATCTAGGAATTTTCATGCTTTTTCAGTTAAAATATTCTACTTTTTTTTTAAAAAAGTAGCCTGTTCTTTGTGGTCTTTTCTACAGTAACCAGCAGATCTGAACTACACCACTAGTTATATCTTACTTTGGTTTACTGCCAAGTGAGTTCAGTCTTCCATTGTGGTTATTTTTCAGTGTGATGAGTCTGAGCAGGAATATCATTACTATTCAGAGATTTTCATATTGTGTTTAAAAAGTGCCAAACAAGTCACTGTTAAAGCAGGACTTCACATGTATATGATGCAAAATTCCCCATTATACTGAGTATAGCAGCTCATATTTTGGGTTACTCAAGATTCAGATTATAAATTAACTGAAGTTATCCTGCCAGCTTTTCGTCAGTGCACATTTCAGATCAGTTTGTAAAGAAGCAAAATTATTATGTAAAAGCAACTTTATTTGGTATTGGTTTCATACACTGCAGCATCAGTCTGAATTGTAATCTAAAGTGATATAATATTTACTTTATAGGCATGTATGATGCTCATAACCTTCCTGCCTTATACAGTAAGTAGTTGTACATTAAGTAAATATATATTATGGAATTTTTAGCATTCACGGGTATGTAAGTAGCACGCCACAATGTTTTAAGGCAAAAATTGTGTTTTATAATGTATTCCCTTTGAGAAAATGTGCATTGCTTTGTGTGATTTTGCATAGTCAAGCTTTTTATAGGTTTGTTAAATGCATACCCTAAGGTGCATTTTTTTGTTAAATTTGTCATAATTAGAATTGTATACAACTTAATTCACATCAGTGCAGAGTAGCCAAAGATTGTAGCCCAAGTCAATACCAATGACATAGGTTGATAGAAGAAGTCTGTAGGCAAAGTTTAGGAAGCTAGGAAATAAAACTAATGATTTTTGAATTACTTCCGATACCACTTGCTGATGAGTGTACAAATGAATATATAACTATATATGATGGAAGGAGAACTTTAGATCCTGGACATGAAGGGATTTTCTTGTGAGGAGGGGATGAATAGGTTGGGCCTTGTACTCATTGGAATTTAAAAGAATGAGAGGTCACCTTTTTGAAACATTCAAAATTTATAGGTGGCTTAGATGCTAAGGAGTTGTTTTCCCTTGTGGGAGAATCTAGAACCAGAGGGCATAATGTCAGAGTAAGGAGCCACTCCATTAGGACATAGATGAGGAATTTCTTCTGTTAATGGGTAATGAATCAGTAGAATTCTTTACCACAGAAAGCTGTAGAAACTAGGTCATTAAAAGTAAGACACACATTTTTAATTAGGAAGGGGATCAATGGGTTTGGGTAAGAGGCAGTTGAGGATTATCAGATCAGCCGTGATTTCATTGAATGACACTGGATTGAATGTTTTACTTCTCCTACGTTGAACGGTTTAAGTAGGCAGGCAGTTAAGAAATCTCCAGGATTGACACAATTCATTGAAGGATATTGAGGGAAGTAAGGATTGAAATTATAGGAGCAATAACGTGCCATTCTTCCTCAGACATGGGAATGGTGTCAGAAAAGTGGAAAATTAAAAAGTAATCCTCCCCGATCCCTGCCTCCCACCCATCTAATTCCAACAAAACACTTCACAAAACCCTGATCCACTCCTTAATCATACTCAATGCCTCATGATTTGCCTCTGGCACCTCTCATTTAGTTTTTTTTATTCATTCATGTATGTGGGTGTCACCAGCTAGGCCAGCATTTGTTGCCAATCCCTAATTGCCCAGAGGACAGTTAAGAATCAACCATATTGCTGTGGGTCTGGAGTCAGGTGTAGGCCAGACCAGGTAAGGACTAGAGTTTGCTACGTTACAGGACATTAGTGAACTAGATGAACTGTTTCACGGTAAACATTAGACATGTAATTCCAGATTTTTATTGAATTCAAGTTCACCGTCTGCCATGGCAGGATTCAAACCCAGGTCCCCAGAACATTACCTGTGTCTCTAGTATAATCTACTGATAATACCACTAAGCTCTCCCCTGTCCTTTTAACTCATTTCTCTTCACCGTCCAAAGCCCCAAATCATCCTCCTATGAAAAACAAGGATTAACTTGTACTTCTTCCAATTGGTATACTATATTTTCTGCTCACAATGCAGTCATCTGCAAAGGGGAGAGCAAATGCAGATTGGGTGACCTGTTTGTGGAACATCTGTGCTCTGTCTGTAAGTATGACCCAGAGCTTCCTGATGATGCCATTTTAATTCACTACCTTGCTGCTATTGCTGACATTTTTGTCCTTGGCCTGCTGCAGTGTTCCAGTAATTTCAATGCAAGCTGTGAAAATAACAAGTCATCTTCTGATTAGGTACTTTACAACCTTCTGGACATTATGCTGAGCTCAACACTTTCAAACAGTGAGCCCTGTTTCCCAGTTTTGATTTTCTTTTTATTGCCTGGTGGCAGTTTTGCATTTTGTTTTCATGTGTGTGCTTTCTGTAAAATCTGGTCACTATTTTGGCACTTATGCTCACTTGGGTAAATGCTTTGTCTCTTCTGAACTATTACCACTCCTTTTACCCTTTGTTTCAGGGTATTGTTTCCATTTAAGTTCTACCAATCTCAAACCTTGCCTTTCAATTTCTCCTCCGCTCCCCTTTTGATGGCACAATTCCCATCATGTTTCTATCTTCTAGTTCTGGAGAAGTGTCATATTTGACTCAAAGTATAAGTCTGTTTCTCTGCTCACAAATGCTGCAAAAATCACACACTTCTGTAACTATGGGATGTGAAGATAAGTTCAGCAACTGCAGACCAGTCAGCTAAATTTTGGTAATAAAGGTTTTACGACGATAATTTAGTACAAAATCACATTTTGAAATGAGGAATAATTAAGAAAAGTCATCATGGATTTGCAAAGGCATCTTTAACTAATTTGAATCAGAGATAGTAGGAACTGCAGATGCTGGAGAATCCGAGACAACAAGGTGCAGGGCTGGATGAACACAGCAGGCCAAGCAGCATCATAGGAGCAGAGAGGCTGATGTTTCGGGCCTAGACCCTTCATCAGAAAAGGGGGAGGGGAAGGGGGTTCTGAAATAAATAGGGAGAGAGTGGGAGGCGGATAGAAGATGGATAGAGGAGAGGATAGGTGGAGAGGAAACAAACAGGTCGAAGAGGCGGGGATGGGGCCAGTAGAGGTGAGAGTAGGTGGGGAGTTAGGAAGGGGATAGGTCAGTCCAGGGAGGACGGACAGGTGAAGGGGGCGGGATGAGGTTGGTCGGTAGGAGATGGAGGTGCAGCTTGAGGTGGGAGGAGGGGATAGGTGGGAGGAAGAACAGGTTAGGGAGGCAGGGACGAGCTGGACTGGTTTTGGGATGCGGTAGGGGGAGGGGAGACTTTGAAACTTGTGAAATCCACATTGATACCATTGGGCTGCAGGGTTCCCAAGCGGAATATGAGTTGCTGTTCCTGCAACCTTCGGGTGGCATCGTTGTGGCACTGCAGGAGGCCCAGGATGGACATGTCGTCTGAGGAATGGGAGGGGGAGTTGAAATGGTTGGCGACTGGGAGGTGCAGTTGTTTATTGCGAACCGAGCGTAGGCGTTCTGCAAAGCGGTCCCCGAGCCTCCACTTGGTTTCCCCGATGTAGGGGAAGCCACACCGGGTACAGCAGATGCAGTATACCACATTGGCAGATGTGCAGGTGAACATCTGCTTGATGTGGAAAGTCTTCTTGGGGCCTGGGATGGGGGTGAGGGAGGAGGTATGGGGGCAGGTGTAGCACTTCCTGCGGTTGCAGGGTGTGGTGGAGCTGGAGGGGAGTGTGGAGCGGACAAGGGAGTCACGGAGAGAGTGGTCCCTCCGGAAAGCAGATAAGGGTGGGGGAGGAAAGATGTCTTTGGTGATGGGGTCGGATTGCAGATGGCGGAAGTGTCGGAGGATGATGCGTTGTATCCGGAGGTTGGTGGGGTGGTACGTGAGGACGAGGGGGATTCTTTTTTGGTTCTTATTGCGTGGACGGGGTGTGAGGGATGAGTTGCGGGAGATGTGGGAGACACGGTTCCCAAAATCCACAAACCTGAATGCCCTTCCCAAAATCCACAAACCTGAATGCCCCCTTCCCAAAATCCACAAACCTGAATGCCCTGGTCGACCCATTGTCTCCGCCTGCTCCTGCCCCACCGAACTGATCTCCAACTATTGAGACGCCATTTTCTCCCCCTTGGACCAGGAACTCCCTACCTATGTCCGTGACACCACCCACGCCCTTCACCTCCTCCAGAACTTCCAATTCCCCGGTCCCCAACACCTCATCTTTACCATGGACGTCCAGTCCCTCTACACCTGCACTCCCCATGCAGATGGCCTTAAGACCCTCCGCTTCTTCCTGTCCCGCAGGCCCGACCAGTCCCCCTCCACTGACACCCTCATCCGCTTAGCCGAACTCGTCCTCACCCTCAACAACTTCTCTTTCAATTCCTCCCACTTCCTACAGACAAAGAGGGTAGCCATAGGTACCCGCATGGGCCCAAGCTACGCCTGCCTCTTTGTAGGTTACGTGGAACAATCCCTCTTCCGTACCTACACTGGCCCTAAACCCCACCTCTTCCTCCGTTACATTGATGACTGTATCGGCGCCGCCTCGTGCTCCCACGAGGAGCTCGAACAGTTCATCCACTTCACTAACACCTTCCACCCCAACCTTAAGTTTACCTGGACCATCTCTAACACCTCTCTCCCCTTCCTGGACCTCTCTGTCTCCATATCGGGCAACCACCTAGAAACCGATATTCATTTCAAGCCCACCGACTCCCACAGCTACCTAGAATACTCCTCCTCCCACCCACCTTCCTGCAAAAATGCTATCCCCTATTCCCAATTCCTTCGCCTCCGCCGCATCTGCTCCCAGGATGAGGCATTCCACTCCCGTACATCTCAGTTGTCCTCGTTTTTCAAGGACCGTAACATCACCCCCTCGATGGTCGAGAACGCCCTCAACCGTGTCTCCCACATCTCCCGCAACTCATCCCTCACACCCCGTCCACGCAATAAGAACCAAAAAAGAAACCCCTCATCCTCACGTACCACCCCACCAACCTCCAGATACAACGCATCATCCTCCGACACTTCCGCCATCTGCAATCCGACCCCATCACCAAAGACATCTTTCCTTCTCCACCCTTATCTGCTTTCCGGAGGGACCACTCTCTCCGTGACTCCCTTGTCCGCTCCACACTCCCCTCCAGCTCCACCACACCCGGCACTTTTCCCTGCAACCGCAGGATGTGCGACACCTGCCCCCATACCTCCTCCCTCACCCCCATCCCAGGCCCCAAGAAGACTTTCCACATCAAGCAGATGTTCACCTGCACATCTGCCAATGTGGTATACTGCATCTGCTGTACCCGGTGTGGCTTCCTGTACATCGGGGAAACCAAGTGGAGGCTCGGGGACCGCTTTGCAGAACGCCTACGCTCGGTTCGCAATAAACAACTGCACCTCCCAGTCGCCAACCATTTCAACTCCCCCTCCCATTCCTCAGACGACATGTCCATCCTGGGCCTCCTGCAGTGCCACAACGATGCCACCCGAAGGTTGCAGGAACAGCAACTCATATTCCGCTTGGGAACCCTGCAGCCCAATGGTATCAATGTGGATTTCACAAGTTTCAAAATCTCCCCTCCCCCTACCGCATTCCCAAAACCAGTCCAGCTCGTCCCTGCCTCCCTAACCTGTTCTTCCTCCCACCTATCCGCTCCTCCCACCTCAAGCTGCACCTCCATCTCCTACCGACCAACCTCATCCCGCCCCCTTGACCTGTCCATCCTCCCTGGACTGACCTATCCCCTTCCTAACTCCCCACCTACACTCACCTTTACTGGCCCCATCCCTGCCTCTTCGACCTGTTTGTTTCCTCTTTAACTAATTTGCTCTGGTTTAACTAATTTAGCTGTGTTAACAGAGTGGGTTAGGAGGCTAATTGCAATTCATAAGTGTACATGAACTTCCAAATGGTATTTAACAAAGTGTCACACAGGCAGTAGCTAACTTTGCTGACAAATCTGCCATCAGTAAACTTGAATACAGAGTTTGCTGCGTAACAGGAAACATAGTGTAGTGGTGAATGCTTACTTTGCGCTGGAGGAAGGTATACATTGAGATTCCCAAGGAACAACGTTAGAACCCTTGCTTTCTTTGACAGATAGGAGCCCGAGTTGGCTATTTAGCCTTATGAGCACGTTCCATAATTTGCTGACTTAATTTTCCCACACTGTCTACATTCCCTGATATCTCTAATATGTATAAACCTTTTCAATCTCAGTCTTAAACATGCTTGATGACTGAGTCTCCATAGACCTTTGGGACAGAGAATTCCAAAGATTTACCACTTTCGATTAAAGAAATTCCTCCTCATCTCTGTTATTGATATACTTTAATGACCTGGACTTGGGACAATTTCAAAATTTGCAAATGACACTGAACTTCAAAGTATTGTGAGCTTTAAGGAGTACAGTAGTAGACCTCAGGAGGACATAGACAGGCTGGTGCAATGAAAGTGGTAGATAAAACTGTGTAGAGAATTGAAGAAGATTCATTTGGTAGGAAGAATGCAAGGTGACAATACAGAATAAAGGTTACAGTTCTAAAGGGATGCAGGAGCAAATTAACTTGGGTGTATAAGCGTGCAGATCAGCAAAGGTCATAGGTTGAGAAAGTGGTTAAGAAAGGATATGAGATTCTGGGCTTTACGAAAGGAAGTTATGACAACCCAGTAAGTAACATTGGTTTGCCCTGAACTGAAATATTGCATCCAATTCTGGACATCATATTTTAAGAAGGATGTGAAGTCCTTAGAGTGCAGTAAAGATTTACAAGAACAGTAGTTAGGGTGAAGGACTTCAGTTTCACAGATTGTTAAGTCTGAGTCTGTTCTTAGAGGAAAGAAACCTCAGCAGAATTGATATGTGTACTCAGAATCATGAAGAGTTTATATAAATTTGGAGAGGAAGAAACAGTTCTTGCTGGTAGAAGATTCAAGACTTACGTGACACCAATTTAAAGTGACTGGCAAAAAGAAATAACAGTGACATGAAGAATTTTTTTTGATGAGTGAGTGACTGGAATCTGGAAATAACTGCCTGAGAGTGTGGTGAAGATATATTCAATCAAGGCTTTAAAATGATAGTTATCTGAAGGAAAAGCTTTCTGGGTTATGTAGGAAGGGTGAATGAGTCAGACTTGCTGAGTTTCTTTTGCAGAAAGCTGGAACAGGTGCAACAGGCTGAATGGCCTCCTGTGCTGTAATCATTCTATAATTCTGAGTGTTGAATTAAGATTTTTTTAGCATGATTGGGCTTAAAAATATATTCAAAATGTAAAAGTATATTTTAAAATGCGAAGGCTAATACAGCTACGAACCACTGAAACCTGTGTTAAACATTTTTTTCCTTTCTTAGTTTTCTTTGATGGCCTCATTTCCAGATGACACACTTGGAATTCTTTCATTTTGTGTTTGTGCCATTATCATTGGATTAATTCAGGTATGAATTAAATGATTTGACTTGTGCAATCTTACAGCAAGTGATTAATAACGTGAGGTTGTAGTTCCTTGGCCTTTCTGTCAAATGTGCTGGAATGACCATAAAGTATCTGGGGGCCAAATATATTTGCTACTTGCCTAATGTTACAATTCCCAGGAGTGCAGTGATGGTTGTATAATGGTGAACTTACCTGCCTTCCAAACAATTGACCACGTTCATTTCCCAACTGTCATTTTAGAGGATCTTGTGGTATGGTGGTAGTGTCCCTACCTCTGGTCCCTAAGGTCCTGATTCAAATCTCATCTGCTTCAGATGTGTCATGACATGTCTGAACAGGTTGATTAAAAATATCTACAATTCCCAGGATAGTTTTATGGGCATGCAGCCACCATCTGCCCTTACAAGACTAAAAGCTTAGGGCAGTGGGAATTCCCATAGGCAGAACCTGGCATAGTAATGCTTGATAAAAACCAAAAGAACTGTGGATGCTGTAAATTGGGAACAAAAACAGAAGTTGCTGGAAAAGCTCAGCAGGTCTGGCAGCATCTGTGAAGAAAAAATCAAAGTTAATGTTTTGGGTCTGGTGACCCTTCCTCTAGTTGATAGTAATGTTTGATTCTGCTGAAATATTTGAAGGACACGCATAAGAGATGAGGTTTGTCAGGAAGCCATGCCAGAATTGGAGCCTGAGGAACAAGTCCTTTTTTTTTTCCCGTTGACTCAATAGTTGCCCTCTGACTTCGGGAAGAAGCAATTAAAGTTACAGAAGTGATATTTGTATGCAACCAACTATTGAAAAATAACTAGACTTTTGCTATCAGCCCCTAACATGGTGTCCTCTATTCGGTACAACTTATTGTTGTTGCTGTTTTTATGCCTGTTTATTTCAATTGATTTAATATCTGTTAAATTAACAGAGAGAGTATTTGGTATAAAACTATCACTGCAAAATGGAGGGAATTTTAATCCTCAAAAAACTAGTAAGTTTAGGTCAGGCTGGAAATATTATTTTTAAAAATGTTAAACCTGAATCTTGCCCATCTGAAATCTACCCACTCCTCATTTTAATAGAGGCAGGAATGGTGATCAGCCCACTGCTAGGAGAGTGGAGGGTCATTTTAATATTTTAACAAAACTGTCCATCCTGAGAGTTTCTCCCTGTTTCGGCATTAATATTGTCTGAGTTTCTGGGCCACAGGAAATTTGGCAGCTAAAGAGAATTGAACATAATTGTGAGAGCTTCTCCCACACTGTAAGTGATTGAATCCACTCCTGTGACCCTTTGACTTCCTGTCCCACAATCTCAAACCTCTTGAAAATCAAGACTGAAAAGGAAGAATTTAAAACCATCGTAATTTCCCCTAGGGAAATGTGCTGGAAAAAATATTAATCTTAAGCATATTCAAGACATCGAGAAAATTTTAATCAGTAAGAGATTCATGGATTATGGGGAAAAGGCAGGAAAGTTAATAAAGGATTATAAGAGCAGCCATGATGTCATTGAAGGGCTGAATGGCCTACTTTTATTTCTGTGTCTTATGGTTTTAAAGTCTGACAAGCCCTGAGACCAGATGGGGTGAATGTAACGTTTAAAAGGAAGTGGCTGATGTCGTTGTAGAAATATTGGTTATTGGTTATAATCTTCCAATTTCCATAGATTCTGGAAAGGCCCCTGCAAATTGGAAAACACCATTACTGAAGAATGGAATGACAAAGCAAGAAATTGTAGCCTAGTTAGATTAACATCTGTACTAAGGAAATTGTCAGAATCCATTATTAAGCACATTATAGCAGGATACTTAGGAAGTTATAATATGCTTAGGCAGAGTCAACATGTATTTTTGCAAGGGACATCATTGTTTGACTAATTTTTTGGATCTTCTTGAGGAACTAATAAACAAAGTAGCTGTGATTATCCTTGAATTTCCAAAAGGCATTTGGTAAGCTGGCACATCAAAGGTTACAGCAAAAAAAAAAGCTCATGGAGGAAAGGGTAACATATTAGCATGGATAACAAATTGATCAGCTAACAGGAAGCATAGAATAGGGATAAATAGGTTTTTAATAGGTTGATAAGCTGTAATTTGTGGAGTGCCACAGGGATCGGTGCTAGGGCTTCAATTATTTGCAATCTCTGTAAATGTCTTGGATGTTGGGACTAAATCTACCTCTGCCTTAGAAATCCATAAAGACTGCTTTTTGAGGTAGAGAGTTCTAAAGACTTAAGCCTCTATGAGGAAAATCAACAAACTCGAAAACAATGCAAGAGGGGTGCAGCTGACGATATTAAAAGCAACTCGACAGGAGATAAGTCTGAGAGCTTAAAACAGTGTATAAAGGGAGAAGACTGTGAGCTTGAAAACAGGGCAAGAGTGGAACAGCCCAATAGCTTGAAAATAGCTTTCAAGGACAGATATTTGAGAGCTTGAAAACAGTTTGAATTTGATTTATTGTTGTCGTATGTACTGAAATACAGTGAAAAGTGTTGTTTTGAGTGCTGTACAGGCAGATTGTACCATACAAAGTGCATCACGGTAGCAGAGCAGAGTGCAGAATACAGTGTCATAGTGGCAGAGGTGCAGAGAGAGAGATCAGAGTTAACATTTGAGAGGTTCTTTCAAAAGTCTGATAACAGCGGGAAAGAAGCTGTTCTTGAATCTGTTTGTACGTGCATTCAAACTTTTATATCTTCTGTCCAATGGAAGAGGGTGGAAGAGAGTATAGCCAGGGTGGGAGGAGTCTCTGATTATGTTGGTTGCTTTCCCAAGGCAGTGGTATAGATGGAGTCAGTGGATGGAGGGCTGGTTTGCGTGATGGACTGGACTGTGTTCACGACTGTCTGTAGTTTCATGCGGTCTTGGGAAGAGCAGTTATCAAACCATGCTGTAATGCATCCAGATAAGATGCTTTCTATGGTGCATCTATAAAAATTGGTAAGTGTCTCTCTGGATATGCCACATTTCCTTAGCCTCCTGAGGACGTAAAGGCATTGTGCTTTCTTGACTGAAGCATTGACGTGGGTGGACCAGGACAGGTTGCTGGTGATCATCACTCCCAGGAACTTGAAGCTCTCGACCATCTCCACCTCGGCACCACTGATGCAGACAGGGGCTTGTGCTCCACTCTGCTTCCTGAAGTCATTGACCAGCTCCTTTGTTGTGCTGACATTGATGGAGAGATTGTTGTCTTTACATCATGCTGCTAAGCACTCAATCTCTTTGCTATATTCTGTCTTGTTGTTTGAGATCTGACCTACAACAGTGGTTTCATCAGCAAACTTGTATATGGAGTTGAGGCAAAATTTGGCCCCACAGTTGAGTGTGTAGGGAGTATAGTAGGGGGCTGAGTATGCAGCCTTGCAGGGCACCGGTGTTAAGGATTATACAATACGATAGGTGTTGTCACCTATTCTTATTGATTGCAGTCTATGGATCAGGAAGTCAAGGATCCAGTTACATCAGGGGGACTGAGACGTAGGTCTTGGAGTTCAGAGATGATTTTGTTTGGAATTAGTGTTGAAGGCAGGGCTGCTGTCAAAAAGTAGGAGGCTGATTTAGGTATCTTTGTTATTCAGCTCTTCCAGGGATGAGTGTAGGGCCAGGAGAGGTGACATCCACCATGGATCAGTTGCACTGGTAGGTGAATTGCAAAGGATCAAGGCAATTTGGTAGGTGGAGTTGTTGTGACCCATGACTAAACTTTGGAGGTCAGAGCCACCGGGTGGTAGTCATTGAGGCATGCTGCATAATTTTTCTTTGGAACGGGTTGATGGTGGTCTTCTTGAAGCAGGTGGGGATTTCAGATAGTGGTAAGGATAGGTTAAAGATGTCTGTGAATACTCCTGCTACCTGATCCACACAGAGTCTGAGTGCACAGCCAGTGACACCATCCAGGCCAGTCTTTTTCCATGGGTTCACTTAAGAAGGCTGATCTAATGTCTGTGGCGGTGACTGTGGGTACAGGTACGTAAAGGCTGTTGGGATAGATGACATCATTTCACTAATCTTCTGTTCGAAGCGAGCATAGAATGCATTGAGCTCATCAGGTAGGGATGAATTGTTGCCCATGATTCTGTTTGACTTCTTTGTGTGGCCTGTTTTTGCCACAACCGATGGATGTCCATGTGGTTAGTCTGGGTCTCAAGCTTAGTTTGGTATTGCTGCTTGGCGTCTCTGATGGCCTTGCCTTATCTTATCTGGAATTCCTGTATAGATTATGGTTGCCCAAATTGAGCACCTCGGACCTAGGCTTCGAGAGGTGATGGATCTTCTGGGTCATCCATGGTTTCCAGTTGGGGAACATTTGGATTAGCTTCTTCAGCATGCAATTATCTGTGCACTGACTTACGAAGTCTGTAATGGTAGTGGTATACTTGTTTAGTTTGACCATTGAGTTCTTGAATATGGACCAGTCCACCGACTCTTAAGCAGTCCCATGGAAGCCCTGCCATTTCCTCAGAACAACACTGCACTACTTTCTGTACTGAGTCCCCCTACTTCATTTTCTGCTTGTAAGCTGGGAGGAGGAGCACAGTTTTGTGTGCTGATTTTCCGAAATGCAGGCAGGTGATGGAGTGGGTAGGCATCTTTGATGGTTATATAGCAATGGCCAAAGATATTGGACCTCTGGTGGGACAGAAGACGTGTTGATGGTATTTTGGTAGTACGGTCTTGAGGTTAGCCTAGTTGAAGTCACCGGCTACGATGAACAAGCTCTGAGTATTCTGTATACTTCATCAAGAGCACTCTTCACTTATGAATGGGGTGGGATGTAAACTGCTGTCTGGATAATTGAGGTGAACTCGCACGGCAGGTAGTAAGGATGGCACTTCACTGTAAGATATCTTAGGTCCAGAGAGGAGTAACATGCCAGGGTTGCCACGTCTGAGCACCAGGCGGTGTTGATCAGGAAGCAGACCCCCAGCCCTTGCCTTGCCTGAGGATGCTGTGCGGTCCATTCAGTACACTGAGAAACCTTCAGGTTGTAAGGTACAGTCGGGTACAGCAGGAGTGAACCATGTCTTTGTGAAGCAGAGCACACAGCAGTCTCTCAATTTGTTTTGGAAGGTGAGTCTAGCTCTGAGGTCATCCATCTTGTTCTCAATGGCTTGGGCGTTTGCCAGAAGTATACCAAGGAGGGGGAACTTGAAACTCTGAAGTTTCAGTCTCACCTGAAGTCCAGCACATCTCCTACATTTCCTGGGTGGGTTGCTGTTCCTTGTCAATCCTGGGCATTGGTGAAGGAGGCTGCCGCTTTGAGAGATAAGTGTATGCTCCTGATAGGTTCATGGCACCAGTCACAGCCTTGAATGTTCAGGGGAGGGGGTGGTCTTGTGCTTGGTTCAGTCAGACCTCAATGTCAAGTCACAATGGGGTCGGGTCTTGTTCCTACACTGGTCGGGCCTCGGTTCCGGGTTTCCATGAGGTTGAGGATGTTGGGCCCGTGAGAGACCAGAAGGCCTCTGATCTCTCTGGGCTTGCGGTTCCACCGTTGGCAAGGCAAGTGGGTGCATCAAATGGGGCCCTGGGCACTACTTGCATTCACGAGTGCTCCACAGGGGTAGGATCTTGCAGTCAGTCTGGTCAGGCTTACTCGACATCTGTTCACTGTGGGGTCAGGTCTTGTTCCCACGCTGGTTGGGCCTCAGTTCTGGATGTCGAGCTCAGGCCTGCAAGAGGTTGGAAGGCCTCCAATCTCTCGGAGCTTGCCTCTAGCATCGTTCCAGCATGGGTAATCGAGCCTCATTGGTTGTGGATCCTCAAACCTGAAAGTAGAAATTAAGAGAGCATTGTTAGTAATTCTGATAAACTTAGAATTGAGGTTTAGAAGAGCAGAACAACAATAAGATATGTAAGAATAAGATCTATTGTAGACAACTCCCAACGTGTCGCCATGCTCCGGTGCCATCTTGGTTCCGAGGGCGAAGAGGAAATGTTTGAGAGCTTACAAACAGTGCAGTATGGGAGGTTTTCAAGAACTTGAGTAAAACTAACTTGGGCTCAGTTAGTGAGCCAACCACATTTGGAGAAAATTATAAACATGACTTCACAAAGATATTTGAGATTGGTGCTAAGTATTTTGTTTATTTATCTGTCAAAATTCAGAAAGTTTATTATTATTTGTAAAGTCTTACTAATTTTTGTAAAGTTTATTAGTAATAAAGCTTATTTGGAGAATTATCTTGCATGCATTGGTAGTTAATTAAGTAAGAAATAAATAATGACATTGCAGTGCAGGTGATCTGTTGCGATTGCAAGATGGGAGCGCTGCTGGATGCTTGTGTGATCCAGGGTAAACATGTTTGTAGTAAGTGTCTGGTTGTGACGGGGGGGTTTGGCTGTAGCTGGGGCAAGTAAGGGCACCCAGAGAAGTTTCAGTCTCTGCAATTCAGGTTTGAGGTTTTTTTCAGTTTGTTTGGATGAGAGAAGGGGCTGCCTGGTAGATAAGCTAATTGACCATGGCAGTTGGTTCAAGAATCTATTCAAGTGGAGGGAGCAAAAAGTAAGGCAGTCATCGTAGGGCACAGGATAGTGAGGAAATTGCAACGCAGTAAGAATCCAGAAAGTTGCATCAGCCTGCATCAAGGTTCAGGATGTCTGCTTACAGCTGGAGAAGAACTTAGTGCGTGGAAGAGGATCCAGTGTCTGTGGTCCATCTCGGCAACAATGACCTAGGTAGGGAAAGGAAAGAAGTTCTGCTTTGTCAGTATGACGATCTGAGCACAAAATTGAAAAGCATTACTTAAAAGATAATAATGTCTGGTTTATTACTTGCTGCATGCAAATTGGCAAAAATAAGAAAAAAATAGATAAATGAATGCATTGCTACAAGCCTGGAATGGATTGTTGTTCACAGGGCATTAGCATAGTCATTATCATACATAGTTACAGAATGATATTGATCTGAATATTGAGGGAATTTCAGAACAAATTGAACATGACATTTAGGAAAGATGGGAAGCTAAGTAAAGGTGGACTGCTGACTTTGTTTCATGCATTCATGGGATGAGGATGACAGTGGCTCGACTAATATTGTTTCTGCCGATCTCTAATTGCCCATAGAGCAGTTAAGAGTCAACCACATTGCTGTGGTCTATGTAAGGATGGCTGTTTTCTTCCCTAAAGAATATTAATGAACCAGATGGGTTTTTCTGACAGTGGATTCATGGTCAGTCATCATTGGACTCTTAATTCCTGATATTTATTGATTTCAAATTCCACCATCTACAGTGGTGGGATTTGAACCTGGGTCACCAGAGCTTACCTGGGTCTCTGGATTAACAATCCACGATAATACCATTGGGCCATCGCTGCCCACCATCCCCCCTTGGTTATTAATGATAATATTAGCACAAGTGATGACCTAAGTTCGGGAAAGTGGGATGTAGAAGACATTTGTGGAGAGATGAGAAATGATAAAGGCAAGAAGTCATTTGAGGGAGAGGTATATAGATCCCCTAATAGTAATCGCAATGTAGGACAGACCTAACAGTAACCATGTAGGGCAGAGCATAGAGGAATGAATGTGAGACCTTATCAGAAAGGTACGGTAACAATCATGGGGAATTTTAAACTGCATATGCACTGGAAAAGCAATCTGGACAAAAGTAGAACAGAAGAAATGTTCATGGAATGTTTTCTTAGAGAAGCACATTCTGGAGTTAACCAGATAGCAGGCTATACTGGTCCTTGTTTTGTCCTGGTAGGACCTCAGTGAAAATACCCCTAAATTTGATTTGATTTGTTATTGTCACGTGCACTGAGATACAGTGAAAAATATTGTTTTGCATGCTAATTAGACAAATCATACCCTACATCAGGGTAATAGAACAGAATGCAGAATATAGCACTACAGCTACAGAGAAGGTGCAGAGAAAGATCAACTCTGATGTATGAGAGGTCCGTTCATTCTGATAACAGTGAGGAAGAAGCTGTTCTTGAATCTGTTGGAACACGTTTTCAAACTTTTGTATCTCTGCCTGGTGGAAGAAGGTATAACCTGGGTGTAAGTGGGTATAAGTAGGTTAAATGAGTGGGCAAGGTTCTGACAAATAGAGTACAGTGTGGGCAAATGTGATTTGTCCATTTTGGTGTAAAAAATAAAAAAGAAACGTATGTGCTGTAAATTTGCAGACCTCGAAATTGAATATAAAACTAAGGAGATTATGCTTCGGTTATACACAATATTAATGAAACCAAATCTGGAATGCTGTGCGCAGTCCTGATCTCCTTCATTGAAGGTAACTCAGGAAAGGTTTACTAGATTGATAGTTGGAATGGGCATGTTGTCTTATGAGGGAAGGCTGGAAAGGCTCGTCTTGTGTCCACTGGCATTTAGAAGATTAAGAGGCAACTTGATTGAAAGTATAAGATCCTGAGGGATCTTGATAATGTGGATATGGAAAGAATGTTTCCTGTTGTGGGAGGATATAGAACTAGCCCCTTAAAATAAGGGGTGTCTCGTTTAAGAGAGAAATAGGAAGGAGCAGAATTACTTCCTTGCATAGAGTTTAGGCGCCTTTGGAATGCTGTTTCTCAAAAAACAGTGCAAGTAGAGCCTTTGAATATTTTTAAGGCAGAGGTAGACAGATTTTTGATAAGCAAGGAGGTGGCTGTTTATCAGGGGTAGATAGGGCTCTGGAGTAATCAGATCAGCCATGATTTTATTGAATGACAGTGGCCTACTCTTGCTCCTAATTTGTTCGTTCACATTGCTGTTTGGAAAGCAGTTCCAGGATTTTGACCTCATGACAGTGAAAGAAGTACAAAATAATTCCAAGCCAGGATAAAATGTCACTTGATGACGAGGTAGTGGTGTTCCCACGCATCCATTGCTATTGTCCTTCTCAATGGTAGAGATCACAGGCTTAGAAAGTGCTGTGCAAGGTCCTTGGCAAGTTGCTATAGTACATTCTGTTGATATCTGCTTTATCTTGGAGTTAGTTAAACTGCGTATATGCACGCAGTATTTTTCTGACTTGTGCCTGGTATATGATGGACAGGCTTTGTGGAGACAAGAGATCAGTTACTTGCTACGGATTCTCCAACCTTTACCTCCTCTTATAGCAATTGTATTTGTGTATATTATTAGACAGCTTGTTCAGAAGTATTATGACACACCTCTGAAGCAGGTAGACTTGAAACTGGGCTTTCTGGCTTCTCTCAATGGGGAAAGCCATTGCCTAGCACTTGTAGTAGTTATCAGCTCAAGCTTAAACGTTGCCCAGGTTTTGGGGATAGACTGCTTGAGTATCTGAAGATTACAAACATTACTGTAAACTGCTCCCATTAGCAAAAACTATACCCCCACATCCCACTTCCAACATTTGCAGCAGTGTCCTGGAGATGAGACGATTGGCCTCTATTCTCTTGTATTAGATGAGGTGAGGGAAAATAAACACAACGACATTCCCATTCCCTCGTCTCTTTTCTTGACTACCATTGTAAAGTATGTTTGTTTAGTTGTTGGGGAAAGAGAGGCTCAAATTCAGCTGTTTCAACTCGAGATAAGAAGCCTGCTTTATCCAAATGTCAATACTTATTAACTAGTTCTACTGCCATCCGTTGAAGTCTATACATAACATTGAGAAAGGAGGAAAGATATATGTTATTGGATGTATATTGTTGGATATTATATAACTAGTATACTCCATGATAATAACGTGTTCTGTAATTGTTAAAGAAGAAACTTAATAGAGCTAACCTCTTCTTCTAATGTCATAACAGGCTATAATTGTGATTTATGGATTCCACCGACCTTACTTATTGAATGCCCATATTTGTGCATCTGAAGAACAAATTTCTTATAAGTACCAAATTTTAAAGATGATTTTACAAGCTCCAGCTCTATTCCTTTTAGCAGGAATTTTGTCTTTCATCTATTGCCCCATGGTAAGTTTCTTTTCCCTCTGCTCAGCCTTAAAGTGTTCAGTAAATCTGTTCGTATAAATGTGGCAGCTTCAAGAACCATACTTCCAAAAAATTATCTGAAAGCAAAGCTTTGCAACTGAAAGGCCCAGGAACATGTAAGAATTCAATTAGTTAAATTAAGATCAGTCTTCTGGAAGCACAATCTGATAACAATCTGCTAGTTCTGAAGGTGTAATTGTACTGATTCAATTTAGGTGCTTCATGCATGTTAATTCTGACTGCCAATTGATATTGTCTCATTTGAGTAGTAATCTGTACTAACTATACTTACTGAGAAAAGAATCAAATTTGAGTCTGAATCATGTATATCTGTTTTGTACTGTGAATCATGGCAAAACAACAAAAAGCAATGAGAGCAAAATGCTTTTGCTGCATAAGTTTCTAAGAGGAAGCATACTGTGTTACTAGTTTGATTTTAAAGAAAACTGACCACCACACTTTCTCAAGGACAACTAGGGATGGGAAATAAATGGCCTCAGCCAGCAATGCCTATGTCCCATGAGTGAATTAAACAAAAATTAAGGTAGGGTTGCATCCGTATTGATGTCTGGAAATTAAGTAAAAGATCCCTAGGAAGCAGTGACCATAATCTGGTAGAATTTAGCATTCCGTTTGAGAGGGAGGAATTTTGGTTGGAAACAACTTCGCTAAGCTTAAATAAGGGCAATTTATAAACAAATGAGGGCAGAACTTGCTAGAGTGAACTGGGAAAGCAGTTGAGCAGCTAAGACAGTTGAGGAAAAATGGCAGACCTTTAAGAGAATAATTCATGGCTTACAACAAAGATATATTCCAGTGAGGAGGAAGAATTCTGGGAATGTAAGCCAGTTATAGTTAATAAGGGAAATTAAGGACGGTATCAAATTGAAAAAAAAAGTACAATGTGATAAAGATTGGTGGTTAGCCAGAGGATTGGGGAAATTTTTAAAAACCAATAAAAGACAAACATTAAAAAAAAGAGGGAGAAAATAAACTTTGAAGGTAAACTTTTGAATAACATTAAGACCGACAGGAAGAGCTTCTTTAAATATATAAAAAGGAAGAGAGAGGCCAAAGTGAACATAGACCCCCGAGAGAACAAGACTTCAGAAGTAATACAGAACCAGCAAATGCTGGCAGAGGAATTGAATAAATACTCTGCACCAGTCTTAACAATAGAAGATATTAATGGCATTCCAAATTTACTAAATAATCAAGGGCAAAAAAGGGAGAGGAAAGAAGTACAATAGTTGTCACTAGAGAAAAAGTGCTAATAAGGCTAAAGACGGATATATCCCCTGGACCTGCTGGGATTCATCCTAGGATATTAAAAGAAGTACCTACATTGATAGTGGGTGCATTAGTAGTAATTTTCCAAGTATCCTTGGATTTTGGAAAACCGTCAATGTAGCACGTCTATTTAAAAAGGGAAGGAGAAAAAGAAAATAGGTAACCGTAGGCTAGATAGCTTAACATCTGTTAGTGGGTAAACCCTACGGTCTATTTTAAATGATGTAATAGAACATTTAGAAATATGATTAAGTGGAATTGTCACAGCTTCTGACAAATTTATTAGAATTCTTTAAGGAGGTAACAAGCAGGATAGATAAAGGGGAAGCAGTGGGTTCAATAAAAGTGGATTTTCAGAAGGCATCTGATAAGAACCTAGAATATAGAACGTAGAAAAGTACAGCACAGTACAGGGCCTTCGACCCACGATGTTGTGCCGAACTTTTACCCTAAACCTAAGGTCTATCTAACCTCCATCCCTACCTTATACTATCATCCATATAAATAAGGGACCATATGTTAAGCTACTTAATACATTAAGAGCCTATGAGTTCTCTGAGAGCATGATCACTACATACAAACTACTTGTGTGCAAGATTTTGTTTCATTGTTAGTCATTGTAGCACGTAACAAGGTAGCATGGATAGATGATTGGCAAACTAATAGAAGATAGAGTTGCGATCGGGCGGCATTTTCAGGATGACAACCTGAAACTAGTGTAGTGCAACAGGGATCAATGCTAGGACCACAGTTATTCACTATATTATTAATGATTTGGTTAAGGAAGGTGAATATACTATAGCCAAGTTTGCAGATGACGCAAAACTGAGTAGGACAATAAGGGGTGAAGATGTCTCTTGAGCCTGCAGAGGGATATAGGCTGATTAAGTAAGTGGGCAAAAACTTGGCAGATGGAATATAATATGAGGAAATGTGAGGTATGTACTTTGTCAGGAAGAATAGTGGAGCTGAATGTTAATTAAATGAATAAAGACTAGAAGAAGCTACAGTTCAGAGGGATTTGGAAGTCCTTGTGCATAAATCACAAAAGACTAGTGTCCAAGTTCAGCAGGTAATTGGGAAGGCAAATGGAATATTGGTCTTTATTTCAAGGGAATGAAGTGTAAAAATAGGGAAATCTTGCCAGAACTATGCAAGGCACTAGTCAGACTATAGCTAGAATACTGGGAACAGTTTTGGGTTGCTTATCAAAGGAAAGATGTACTGGCATTGGAGGCAATTCAGATGAGGATCACGAGGCTGATCCCAAGTATTGAGACACTGTCTTATGAGGGGAGGCTGAATAGGTTGGTTCTGAGCTTATTGAGTTTAGAAGAATGAGTGGTCTTTTATGCTAGCTATTTTGTTCTTGTTAATGGAAGGTGTTAACAACATATTTTGTGCCATATTATAGTATCTTCTCCAATTACTTTTCATTATTTGGCAACTTTCATTTTCACAGGCATATGCAGTGCTTGCACTTGTCATCTTTCTCCCGTACCTTTCTCAGTGTGCACAGTGGTGTAGGAACAAAATAAAGGGTGAGTACATGAGATGGTAGTCACTGTGCAGAGCCACTTTCTGTATGTTTATAGCAATATTGTCCCACTTAGAAATTCTATTTCTTTGAAAGGGCAATTGCTATTTCAGCGAGCAATCATCTCCACCTCCAACCATGAACAGTGAAATGACATGTGATTGAGGAAAAGTTTGCATAGAAGCTCCAATTTTTCCTTGAAACATGAGGAACTATGGTGGGAAGTGACAGCTGGGATAATTTACTAAAGAGACACATACTAAGCAAGTACAAATTTCACAACATTTTTAGTGAAAACTTTGTGAACTTTTCTACGTTAACTTGGGGTGGCATGGTGGCTCAGTCATTAGCACTGCTGCCTCACAGCACCAGGGACCCAGGTTCAATTCCACCCTCTGGCAACTGTCTGTGTGGAGTTTGCACATTCTCCCTCTGTCTGTGTGTTGTTTCCTCCCACAGTCCAAAGATGTGCAGGCTAGATGGATTGGTCCTACTAAATTGCCCATAGTGTTCAGGGATGTATAGATTAGGTGGGTTACCGGTGGATGGGTCTGGGTGGGATGCTCTGAGGGTTGGTGTGGACTTGTTGGGCCAAAGGGCCTGTTTCCACACTGTAGGGATTCTATGAACTGGAAATATATACAAGTTGAGTAGGGAAGAGAAAAAACATTTGCATATTTTGTGTTCCGTGCAAGGTCCGAAAGAACTTCGGAGAGTACCATTTTACACATTTCACCCAAACGAACCGCTGAGCAAAGAGCGTGTGGAAGCTTTCAGTGATGGGGTATTTGCAATTGTAGCAACACTTCTTATTTTAGACATATGGTAAGTTTTCTTTATCAATATCAATTGTATTACTAAGCTTTTCATCAGTTAGATGTTTTAAAAAAAAATAGTGTGAGGTATATTGGTAGAAGTGACTCATGGATTATTCACCTATAGTTAGCACTCAACTGTGGATTCCTAATCACATCTAATTAGCTTAATTAGAACTGATAAAGGGAATAGTTTTCTTTTTGTTCATTAGTATCTTTAATAATTTACTCATGCAACATTCTAATGTGTTCAGTCAAATTTGATAAGTCAATATTATATTGATTTTGAGATCTGGAGTTAACTTAATAAATATTTAGATTTTAAACTTAAACTATCTACACATAAGTAATCAAAACAGGTATGTAATAAGCCAAAGAGCTGCGAGTGCTGGAGATGTGAAATGAAAACAGAAATTGTTGGTGAAACTCAGCAAGTCTGGCATCATCTGTGGAAAGAAAGCAGAGTTAATGTCTCGAGTCCAGTTCTTCATCAGAACAGGGATATTTTAGTCAATTCATTCTTAATATATTTTATATATTTAAAAGTGTTGTGAAAATTTCTAATTTCACGATTCATATATTGTAGGAATATAATTTCTGGTTTTGAGGAGATTGAATTTTTGAATGTAAGGTGGATGGAAAAGTCTGGTAAACACTCCTAAGTTAATTACTAATTTAAAGAATAGTTCATATTTAAAGGGGAAAGAGTTAGAGGTATAAAAA